CACTCCTCTGACAGAGACAGTGTGTAGACTATGCCCACTCCTCTGACAGAGACAGTGTGTAGACTATGTCCACTCCTCTGACAGAGACAGGGTGTAGACTATGTCCACTCCTCTGACAGAGACAGTGTGTAGACTATGTCCACTCCTCTGACAGAGACAGGGTGCAGACTATACCCACTCCTCTGACAGAGACAGGGTGTAGACTATACCCACTCCTCTGACAGAGACAGGGTGTAGACTATGTCCACTCCCCTGACAGAGACAGGGTGTAGACTATGTTCACTCCTCTGACAGAGACAGTGTGTAGACTATGTCCACTCCTCTGACAGAGACAGGGTGTAGACTATACCCACTCCTCTGACAGAGACAGGGTGTAGACTATGTCCACTCCTCTGACAGAGACAGTGTGTAGACTATGTCCACTCCTCTGACAGAGACAGTGAGTAGACTATGTCCACTCCTCTGGCAGAGACAGTGTAGACTATGTCCACTCCTCTGACAGAGACAGGGTGCAGACTATACCCACTCCCCTGACAGAGACAGGGTGTAGACTATGTTCACTCCTCTGACAGAGACAGTGTGTAGACTATGTCCACTCCTCTGACAGAGACAGGGTGTAGACTATACCCACTCCCCTGACAGAGACAGGGTGTAGACTATACCCACTCCCCTGACAGAGACAGGCTGTAGACGTTACCAAATGTCACAAAAAGTCACTTGCCTATTGAAAAAGCCATGTATGACAATGGACGTATCAAGTGAACGAAATTGACAATAAATGAATGAAGACAGTGTGATACCGTTGTAATACATAAATACTAACATTAATACTAAACTTTGTCATTGAAAAATCGATCTATTCTAAGCTCTTTATACTGGTAAGTTAATAATAAACATATGTTCTCTACAATCCTTGTCACAGTGCCAGATACATGATTGATTTCAGTACAACAGACTATTATTGGAGATATTACATTAAATATTTATATAATCATCGGATGTAGCCCGTGTATTCTGTTGATTTAAATAATGCGGGCGGATAATTGCGAAACTTTGCTTAAACTGCACCCCAATAACGTTTTATTCTGTATGTATACAAGCCTTGTTTGTCCCAATCGAGACTTCGGCACCAGAATTGGTACACTGGCGCGTCCCAGCCACAAGCAAACATATTGCATGTAACTACATTGTTGACAGTTAAATTGGAAAAATGCCAACAAGAAATTGAATCTTCATTCTGGTATAGGACAGCGATATATAAAAGATCAGTACTGTTCACCATTTGATTCCGTAAAGTTGTTTCTGTTCATTTGTTAAACTGATCACATCTCAGGTCAAACAGATGAAATATGACTTCACGCGGCCAAGGTATCGCTGACCCGTAAGTATGGATTGAAAAAGTGTATATATACAACATGGTATAGCGCTTCCGTTAGTACGGAACGGTTTGGTAGGATAGAACGACACCGTCAACACGGACTGATGTTGATGTAGAAAGCTACAACGATCCCGTTAGTACGGACTGATGTAGATGTAGAAATCTATAACGATCCCGTTAGTACGGACTGATGTAGATGTGGAAAGCTACAACGATCCCGTTAGTACGGACTGATGTTGATGTAGAAAGCTACAACGATCCCGTTAGTACGGACTGATGTTGATGTAGAAATCTACAACGATCCCGTTAGTACGGACTGATGTAGATGTAGAAATCTATAACGATCCCGTTGGTACGGACTGATGTTGATGTAGAAATCTATAACGATCCCGTTAGTACGGACTGATGTTGATGTAGAAATCTATAACGATCCCGTTAGTACGGACTGATGTAGACGTAGAAATCTATAACGATCCCGTTAGTATGGACTGATGTAGATGTAGAAATCTATAACGATCCCGTTAGTACGGACTGATGTAGACGTAGAAATCTATAACGATCCCGTTAGTACGGACTGATGCAAAAAATTATTAACGATCCTGTTATGAAGTTAAGGTGTATGTTATATCAGTTCCCTAGTATGGAACAAGGAATCCATGTGTACGGTAGCCCTGTTAATCGGAGGTGTGGGACAGAATAAACGTGTACAGTAGCCATTTTATCGGAGTTGTGGAGTAGAATTGTTTGACAAACGTGTACGATAGTCATATATATCGGACAAACTTGGACGGCAGCCCATTTATCGAGTTTATACGCTTGACTTTTTTTTACGTATAGAATTTTTGTATAACAGCTGTGTACAATCCCAGCAGACGTACATATACAATTGTCGTGGTCGCGTTTTCTTTTATACGTGTGGTTTGCCAGACTTTGAGAAAGGATCATGACAATCTATTCCTTCCGTCACAGTCATGTTCGTTAAGGGACTAGCAGGCCAAGGATACAATTTGATAGATTTGAATTATTATGAAAACATCCATTGTACATGTACATTGTAAAGTGAGGCGTAATGTTATGAATACATATTATGATAAATGCATTCGTGGAAGCTTTTCCTGCGTACTATCTGCTACAGTAACTACGGACCAGATTCGTCCGAGATCTCTGGAACATTACAGTCAAACTCCTAAGGACTGCTCCCTTCAAAATCATATACGGCGATCACGTGACTTACAGGTGGACACTGCCCACCTAATAAAATATAGAGGAGTTTAATTTTTCCATTTAGATGGGCGTTTCTTGATCGAGTGTCCAAACTGGCCATGAGAGTACTATTCTAAAAATAGCGAGGTTTTAAGCCTTGTTTAGAAGAGTGGCGATGTGCATCGAAAACAAGGCTACATCTGACAAATGAAGTGTCAAAATGTGGGACAGTAGTGACAAACCGAGTTTGATGCAAATTTATTGTACATGTCTGTTAACAACTTTGACACCAAAACGATTCTTCAAAGAATAATTATATCATCCGAAGTTTATCGATGTTGTCTATTCCAATCTAGTTCAGATTTCCCCATAATTTTCTTCCGCACGCGTTTTTTTCGGCCATGTTGTTTTCACCGTTACGTGTGCTATGTGCAGAGCATTATGGGATTCGAAGGCTAAATATAGTTGCCCAACTTACATGTTATCTAATTAGTCTGACGAGCTCGATCGGATTAGGATTTCCTTCATTAGTTATTTTAGAAGCCAAAAGGAACATAGACAAACTTAAAATGTACTTCGTTATCTTTTAGCGATGATCATCTTTAACATTTGCTCAACGGGAAAGTTTTGTAACAAAAGGGAATTAACAGACTTGAAGAGGATTTGAGTACTTGCAAAGAAAACGGTAGAGTTTCCTCTCTCCAAATTGTCCGGAATATAAGCTATGATTTGAACGAAATGTGCGTCAAAGATCAAATGATTTCGTTATATAGCAAAACAAGATATTATATGTACAATGTACATTACCAATAAAAATAGAAGCAGATTCATCTATTATAAAGCTACTATTTGTTAACAGGCGTTTTTTCTGATATCAGACATCCTAGGAATGTCATGTGCATTGCTCGTCTACGAAGTACTGCCAATCATTGTCTCCACAATGTCAAAGTAGGTCATTAGAATCACTCATAACAAGGCACCTACCAAAGTCACGTGCAGCATGCATCGGTAGGTACCATCGCTGTAGCAATAAGAAAAGCACGAGAAAAGCGTGCGGAATGTACTACGGTAACTACAGAATAGAACCGGTATACAGTAAACACCTCGGCTGTTAATAAAAAAGAGAGATGGTATTCAGTACCCCGAGCTAATTCTGTGGATGTGTTTTCTTCAATTAATGCACAAAACTTTTATTCTGATTCATTTTATCACATTTTATAAAATAATATCCCATCAAACGATCAAAAGAAATCAAAACAAAAAGTTCTGATAGACAATTATTTCATGCAATATGATTGTTTGGGTAAGAACCGGCACCTCTTCTAACCAGAGTTGTCGTTCTTTGACATCCATGCCAACGGCATGATGTCCAGAATCTTGGCAAAGTGATTTGAAAATTGATAATGAACTGAATCATAGTGCGATACTCGACATTTTATCAAAGTTTGTGTATACTTTCGTGTATTAGGATAACTATGCTAAATATACATTTGTTTTCTTTTACATGTTAATATATCTTCGGTTAAGGTCCTAAGTTACATGTATTCTTTGTTCAGAACTTATACCTGGGTAAAATAGATTTACCTTTTGATAAAGTTATAAATATCTAGCCTTTCTACTTATGAGCAGATGTGTTTATAATGTTTTCAGAATATGTTAGTGCCTCTTTATACTTTTGAACTTGATTTCCCTTTGATTTAAAACTGTGTCTTAGTGTACATAATTTGATTAATGAGTCAATGTGCTTATCCCGATTGGTATGAATATGCGATTATATTTGCTAAAATGGTTGCAGTAAGGGACGTATGAGAAAAACACAGGAGCTTTGACGATAATTGCCTCATACTTTCCTTACATGTAGTACTAATGGATTAGCACGTAAAGTTATATCCGCTTTTATTCATTTAAATGTCAGTTATAGGTAATCCATTTGTTTAGGAGAAGTATTGATTATTTAATGTTATTTAAAAATGGAATGTGTAACCCTTTGTAAAATGAGGAAAACGACAGATGCTTAAGGACAAAATTACATTTAGTATTTGTTTGTGTGTGGTTCGGGTGGGGAGGGGGGTGGGGGTGGGGGGGTGGTCGGTGTTTACTCTGATTGATAAGGCAAAAAGTCCTCATCCTTTGAGGAGAACCCCCCTCCCCCCTATTTTCCGTTTATTTAAGAGGGGAAAGGTTTTCTTGTGGGGGAATTGTAAACACTCGTGATTAGTTTACAGTTTGCTTGTTAAGGACAAGGATTGAACCCTTTGTCTGAGGAGGAGATGCGTTCATTTAGGAAAGAGATATAGTTACCCCTTGATTGAAGTGAAATATTTACAATTTGTTTGAAGACGAAATCTATTGTTTTACAAGCAAGATGATAGCATTTGTGTCACATTGGGGGTGCGGGTGGAGGGTAGGGGGTACTTACAGTTGTGGTCGAGAGTTTTCAGCAGAATGCCCTCCAAGAATGTAATCTGACTGGCATTACATTTGGCCGCGTGCTTCCATTCTCCCGCCAAAGATTCCTCGTCCGTGTAAAATTTGAATTTTGCCTGGACGGCGAAGCTCGGCTTAGACATAGTGTGCATTATTTTGAAACGAAATGATCACAAAATGATGGCATCATTTGATACACACTACCCATGCATGGTCTGCTTTTGTCCCTTACATCGCAAAACTTTGTTGGGAGACTATGTTGCAATTTATTGAAACAAGATTAATGATAAGTTTCAACAAATGGCAGTTTTCACAAACTTCACGCAGTGACATCCTAAGGAATTAAGCAGTATCCAAACACACAGTATATATCACTGCCGAAACGGTTGACTGTCTCTCTACCTCCGACCAAACCTTCTCCTTTGTTTACAGTTCCCAGTACACATGTCGTTTGGTGAACGAGGTACTTTGAGGACCCGTCAGGCGAATGTCCTAACTCACCTGCCCCGTGAGCAGTTAGTCTCGGTGTGCGTAGTTAGTACACAGAATAGATTAACATCAGCATCAATATTCCCACCGATACACAATTTGATCCCTTTGGTCTGTCCGATAGTAGTAGTCTCTCTCAACAGTCCTGTATTGAGCTGTGTACACCTAGGTGTTACGGTGAACAGTCTTACCTTACTCTTGTCTGCTGTGTAAATGAGTTATTTTTGGCGCATCGTGGCTTCTCGCGGGGAGATTGCCCCCTCCCCCATCACTGGTCTACTGCTGTAGTAGTGTGGGAGGGAGGACAGCCTCGGTCAGAGTGTAGCGCCACAACCTATACAAATTTAAGGTTAATCAATGGTTGGCCCGTCTATTTTAGTAAAGGTCGTTTTTACCGAGCTTACGTAAGACTTCTGTTACAGACAGAACACATGTGGCTCTGACAACTAGGCTGCTGATTTATTACTACTCACGTTCATTTTGTATTTAAAACAAAACGATGATGAAGTTATGTTTGTTTTTTTTCGGCACTGTGTGTATGTGCGCGCGCGTTTCAAAGGTTATTTCATCGTCAAAAGGCTTCGTATATATGTCTACGTTGGTAACTGAAACCTTCGGTGTGTTGATACTGTCACTAAGTAGATGTCTCTGATGGTGTTCTCAGCATTTTGATAGTGTCGTCAGTGCTCAGATGGTATCGTTAGTGTTATGACAATGTCAACTTTTGATAGCGTCGTCAGTGGTCTGACAGTGTAAACATTTGATAGAGTCCTTAGTTTTCGGATAGCGTCGTCTTTGTTCTGACAGCGTCGCCATTAGATACAGTCGTTTGTGTTCGGATAGCGTCATCTGTGTTCTGACAGCGTCGCCATTAGATACAGTCGTCTGTGTTCGGATAGCGTCATCTGTGTTCTGACAGCGTCGCCATTAGATACAGTCGTCTGTGTTCTGGCAGTGTTACCATGAGATAGAGTTCTTAGTGTTCGGATAGCGTCTTCTGTGTTCTGACAGCGTCGCCATTAGATACAGTCGTCTGTGTTCGGATAGCGTCATATGTGTTCTACAGCGTCGCCATTAAATACAGTCTTCTGTGTTCGGATAGCGTCGTCTGTGTTCTGACAGCGTCGCCATTAGATACAGTCGTCTGTGTTCGGATAGCGTCGTCTGTGTTCTGACAGCGTCGCCATTAGATACAGTCGTCTGTGTTCGGATAGCGTCATCTGTGTTCTGACAGCGTCGCCATTAGATACAGTCGTCTGTGTTCTGGCAGAGTTAACATGAGATAGAGTTCTTAGTGTTCGGATAGCGTCTTCTGTGTTCTGACAGCGTCGCCATTAGATACAGTCTTCTGTGTTCGGATAGCGTCATCTGTGTTCTGACAATATTAACATTTGATAGAGTTGACATGCCATTTCCTGATGGCGCCAGCGTTTGACTGAGTCATTATTGTCCTAACAGCATCAACATTTGATAGCGGCGTCAGTGCTCTGACATCATCAATATTTGTTTTCTGTGTTCTGGGTTTTGTCATCAAGTCATGATATATAGTTATTCTGGGTTTTATCATCAAGTCATGATATATAGTTAAATGGTACATAGTCTCCGCTGGTTTCTGCTCAGCATTGAACTATATGCGTTCGGCTAATCAGTGGTCCGTAAGATGTGACCAGGTATTATACTAATATCATACACCATTTCAACGAAATGGCACTACAAAGGCGTCTGATAATGACTCAGTTGTGCCATCATCCGTGTACACCGTCTTATACCACCCTGGCTGTTGTAACGACGTAACACCGTCAACAAATATACTTTCTGTTTCGTTTTCTTTTTATATTCTAACCTTTACTTTGATTGTCGGTATAGACTAAGTAAAGATATATGTATCTGTTTGAGAAATAGTTGCCCTTGTATCTGCTATTTCAGGCCGTTCCTTCCTGGTCCCGGCCTTGGGGGTATTGATTAGATTTCAAAGGCATCTCACTTTATCTTACGTTATGGCGCTTTCGTTGTCCTTCACATTTAAAGACGAGTAGTTAACAACATAGGGAACGGCCCTTTGGTCAAACCAAATTTGTACAATTCTACCCTTATACAACTGACCATTAAATAAACAATATAGAACCATATATATATAGGAATGTCTTATGCAGTACAATTACAGAAGGCGTAGATGATATAAAGACCGGAACCCATTATAAGATAAGTCTTGATTTCAAACTGGGATTTCTTCTTAAGAAAACCGATTTTTTTTATGAAATATGGACTTTAACGTTCAACATAACAAGGTTGGGGTCATACATGTGCACAATATTTCCTACCGTACTGACATGATGACCTCAATCATGCATACGAAACTTCCTATACAGGGCTGATATTATGTTTATATCCGAGTTGTGTGAAACTTCGCGACATATGTCACGTACTATAAATGTGAATTTACACAACATTGATGTGTTTATATAATTCAGTAATAGAATTACATTACTTACAAGTATAAAGTGAATTGACTACAACAGTAAAGTGATCAAATCGGAATATCACTTCAAGTTATCTCCCTTGGTACCTCGAAATCGATAGTCATGCTGGTGCTGGAGTCCCGAGATAGTTTATTTATAGACAGAAATGATGATGCATATTGGTAATTTGAAATGATTGCCCGTCAGTTTTTTTCTACAGTGACGTCATTAACATTAATACTGGTGACACAACATTAGTGTATATACGAACGTGTATTTTTATTCAGGATTTTAAAGAAATAAAAGTCTATCTGTTGCGTTTACATCCAAGAAAATTGCCAAGAAAACACGAGATTTCTGCATACATCCAGTTCACGGACAAATATTCCTCAGTCTGTGTGGTAGCTACATGCTATTCTCATTTTATCACTTAACAGTGTTGTAGTCGGAAAGGACCCTTTAGGATTTCATTTGTGTTCTTTCACTATTGTTATATATACTTTTATTGACAAAGTTAGAAAATGTGATCACAATAACAAACAACTAATTACCGTGTTGTCAACAAATGAAGATCAAATAAAAACCGACACGAAAAGACAATGATTCAATCGCACAAATCATGTAGTCCGATATGTTTTGTGCCATTCTGATCTCTCGGAGTTACTTCCCTTTGTTCTTCCTCACTCTCTGTCTCTGTCTGTCTGTCTGTCTGTCTGTCTGTCTGGTGTTAAGATTTTTGGTTTTCTTCGGAATTGTCATTTCACGCAGATAGTCTGTCTATTAGGTTGCTTTTTATTGCCATTTTAAAATCTATTTGTGTGTTTATCTTTCTTGAGGATTTACGAAATAGCTTCAGTATTTCCTTTCTATTCTTTTTTCATTTATAAATCTCATTTTAACTGGGCAATGCCGTGTGCCCACTACCTACTTCACGCCTAACTTGACGAAATCGATAGTCATGCTGGAGCTGGAGTCCCGAGATAGTTTATTTATAGACAGAAATGATGATGCATCTTGGTAATTTGAAATGATTGCTCGTCAGTTGTTTTTTCTACAGTGACGTCATTAACATTAATACTTGTGACATAACATTAGTGTGGATACGAACGTGTTTTTTTTCATTCGATCGCCTGTTCAAACTTTGTCAATAAAAGTATATATAACAATAGTGAAAGAACACAAATGAAATCCTAAAGAGTCCTTTCCGACTACAACACTGTTAAGTGATAAAATGAGAATAGCATGTAGCTACCAAACAGACTGAGGAATATTTGTCCGTGAACTGGGTGTATGCAGAAATCTCGTGTTTTCTTGACAATTTTCTTGGATGTAAACGCAACAGATAGACTTTCATTACTTTAAATTTACTTTTCTGTCTCCTTTTAAGAAACTTTACTGAGGTGTTTTTTGGTCTTCTTAGGAATTGTCATCTCACGCAGTCTGTCTATTAGGTTGCTTTTTACTGCCGTCTTACAATCTATTTGTGTGTTTATCTTTTTTGGGGATTCACGAAATAGCTTCAGTATTTCTATTCTTTTCTTTTTTCTTTTATAAATTTCATTTTAACTGGGCAATGGCGTGTGCCCACTACCTACTTCACGCCTAACTTGAAGACCTAATCATAATGTATCATATATTTCAGTTATGTGCAGGCCAGCATAGTAGACCATGTTAAGGTTTGTTCTGCCTTGTAAACTTTATCGTTTGTTCTGTTATTATGTTTAGAAAGTACTAAAGCTCTCCAGAAGGTGCTGTAATGTCTGAAGTACGGGATAACAGAAAATACTATAACTAAATGCAAGTTTATGAAACTTTATGAAATTGCATACTTGACGCCATTTCATAAAACCGTATTACATTCCTGTTGATTCCACGGATACTATCCGATATACATTATATACCTTAATTCCAACACAAAGCACTGTTGATATCTACTTCACTCCGTTTATGTATAGATAAATCTGTGCATTTTTGTTTAACGGAAGATAATCAAGAGTTGTCTCCCTTATACCACCAATCTTAATTGCTGAGTTTGTTTATTAACTTTGTTCACTGTTTCAACATTTTTCAGGCCAGAGTTCTGATTTAATACTTAACACGTAAAAGAGAACCACAGCGTAATTAACCACCATAAATCAGTATACCTCTCGAATGAAAACAAGATTAAGACTTTATATGTTCATGGGTATAATATTGTAATATTGAAATACTGTATATTGTAACACATAGTAACAAGCGTTCTAGATATTGAATATCATAACTATTCAGGCCTAAGATTTTATTTGTCAAGAGGTATATACTGTACATATATACATTCTTTCTGTTGTTTTTTCTATTGTTTTTATATATATTTAAATCAATGCTTTGATAAAAGTTGTTTTGTAGCGTTGTACGTATGCCTTGAATAGGTTCGAAGCTGATAACCCCGCTATTTTCCTGGAAAAATCTTACCTTTCAATATTTTGTAACTATGATTTCATTGTTTACATAATGGAGGCAGATAGGTGATATGTTAACATTGAATACAGGTGAACATTATATGTATAAAATAAATGTAATCTTACCCGGAAGTTGTTATCGTTAGACAGACTCGACACACCGCAAAGATAATGATATCTTTACCTAAATATATGTATGTAGCTCATGGAAATTTGGAACGTGTATGTTCCTGTCACAAGTACGTCTTGAATGCACAAGGTCATGTGGTGTGACGGGTTTTATTTGTCTGAATATGATGACAGTGGACGGTGAATGTCACTTAGGATGAAGTAAAGGACTGTGGGCAGTGGACTTTGGTCATAAAGGGGAGATGATAAATAAATTACACGCAGTAATGTTTAGGTCAATGGTACAGATGAAAGGGTAACTTTTAACCATAATAAAATACACGTGATTCACAACAATACGATTGTAAAGCCTTGGTTTTCACATATTTCACACAGTTTACACAATGTTTCCGTTCAAATGTGAACATTTTTCATCTTTTTCTGCAAAAGTACAGTTATATTGTATATGTGATTTCCAGGAAATACATTGTTTATTACATTGATCACAAAATAACACATTCATAATAAACCATTACTTAAAAGATACTGACAAGGAAATACTTGAATTACTTAAGACTGAAAATGTCTCCTGCTTGAAAATGGTATTAGTATCCTGCATTTAAACTATTTCACTCATGATAAAATATTACTTAATGTTGGTTTCCCAACTTTTCTCTAACTATAACTTGTTTCTTCAGTGTAACTGATGTTGAATTTAACCACACCTACACCTCTAAAGCAGCATGCTCTTTCAGATGAGTGACAGACCATATTTAACACTATCTAACACTATGTACAAGTCACAACGACCCTCACTTTTTAAAACATTTTTTAATTTTCGTGATCCTCTCGGAACATTTTGTGCCGAAATATAAATAATTTCCCGCCATAGTTTGTTGATTTAAAGCCCAAATTCCATTTATCACATTCATAATACTCGTGTCAATTATAATGAATAGTGGCTGAGCCAAAAGTACCCCGGTACCGAGAAATATTCACTCATACAGGTTCAGGCAAATTATACAGAGAACAATAAAAAGTCCGGGTATGCGGGCTGACAAGGTGAGCTTATTCAGTCCCTCCTTTGTTGGCTTGTTCGAGGTGAGAAGTATTCAATAAGTCAGTCACTGCATGATTTACCGTCACTCAAGACTTATTACTAAAACAAACAACAAATTTGTTACATCGTAAACAAGAATGACTTTAATTAAGTAAAGGGTATCTTATAACTACTAAATTACACGAAATGAGATCAATATCCAGCCCTTGATAAATTGACTTACAAGACTCTAAAAACCATCAATAATGATGGAGAATGCTTTGAAATCACCAACTATCATCACTTCTCGTCAGCTCACTTAAGCCTGTTTTATATCTGTAATCTATATGCCCCTGGTACTAGTGTTACAGTTCTTGAAATCATTATCTGTATATATCACCACAAATCACAATACTATAAAGTTTTCACTTTAAAGAATTAGTCAATAAAAGACATCACACTTATCTATCTGTACCAGTTTTATGATGTTTCAAGAAACACTGTTTAATAATTTCTGATGGTTTCTTTGAAATAATCAATTCGCTAATTTGTATTGAAATCTGAGTTATGAATGTTAGGATCTTAGAACGTATTATATGTAGCAGTGTATCTGCTCCGGATCGCAACGTACAAGCACCGCAAAGACGGCAGTTCATTACCAAATGGTTTATTCTGGATGCCCAATTAAACCCTATAACAACAATATAACAATACATTAAAACTAATTCTCAAACTCACACTACCTGAACGAGTTATGAACTCGTTCAGATCGAACACGACCGATTAACGCACTCAGCACAAAAACGCTTAACTATACAAATACTATTAAAGTAAAATACTGAATAACCCAGTCACTATCATACATTACAGAGCCGAAACTTCATAGGTTATAAGTTACGATACACAATACGTTAAGGCAACAACATACCTCTTCAAAAAGGGAAGAGGGCTTAAGGGACACAACCCGCGGATGACGGTTTAGCTGGCCACAGAACGAAACAGCGGATCTATAAATTATGTTAAATAATTAGCAAAGAAAAAAATAACAAACTTTAACCAGAATTTAGGAAAAAATTATAATGATCAAAAATATATCACAACACACCTCCTCTGAATAATGTAAAAGATAACCATGAACTCCAAACAATATGAAATTCAAATTACCAAAGATCGATTTACTCACAATTTAACAGAGCCTATTAAATATAATTCGACATCGATCTTTACAAGAGGATGCAATTACAATAATTGTAAAAAGTTACTTATTTACAATACAGTCAATATACATGATTTATGAAACTTAAAAAAAAAAAAAAAGTCAATATACATGATCGGTACTTAATATAATTTCCGAACAACAAAGGACGAAAAAGGGCCTCTCTCAATAAAACCCAAACGCCATTTTACCGCGCGCCTTGCGCGATTACCACTGGGCAGTTCGATAAAAATATATTTGCCCTTTGACATATCACAGAGGCGGTTTACAATACATTATAAAATAAGACCTACAATTGCGTTACAAAACACGGGACCGCAACTTGCTCACTTATATTAAAAATACCTTACAAAGTCAATTTACAAAATTGTACCCTACTACACATATCATTTTTGATATATAGTTTATATAGCTTAGAAAGCATATCTGATCAATCCAACCAAGTCTCAAAAGGGCATGTAAAAGTGATTTTCAGTGAAAATGAAATTCAAAAAAGGACAATAACTGTTCTGAAATTGTTGAATCAAAAGGTGAGGAAAGTACAACTTCCTGTCCTGGTTATCCCTTTTGAATCGATCATGGTGTGTCCAGTTAATATACCAAACACATAATTATAACGAGGTGTCTAGCAGGCTACCAGGAGTCTGTCATTGTAGTGTGATGATGTTACTCAGCCGCGGAGTCTGTCATTGTAGTGTGATGATGTTACTCAGCTGCGGAGTCTGTCATTGTTTGTGATGATGTTACTCAGCTACTGTGTCTGTCATTGTAGTGTGATGATGTTACTCAGCTGCGGAGTCTGTCATTGTTGTGTGATGATGTTACTCAGCTGCGGTGTCTGTCATTGTAGTGTGATGATGTTACTCAGCCGCGGAGTCTGTCATTGTAGTGTGATGATGTTACTCAGCTGCGGAGTCTGTCATTGTAGTGTGATGATGTTACTCAGCTGAGGAGTCTGCTACAATGAAACAACTGTAAAAGACAGATAAACTGAGTAATCTTTCACGAACATTGTAGAGGTATCTGTCACAGGTAAATCAGCAAATGAATCATCATGGTAGTCTAGGTAACTCGGTTACAGTGTCTGTCATAATTGATTTATAGGGTAATTCAGCTGAGGAGTTTGTCACATGCAGAGCTTTCTGTCACAGTAGTCTGACTAGGTAACTCAGCAGATGAGTCTGTCACAGTAGTCTGACTAAGTAAATCAGCAGATGAGTCTGTCACAGTAGTCTGACAAAGTAACTCAGCAGATGAGTCTGTCACAGTAGTCTGGCAAAGTAACTCAGCAGATGAGTTTGTCACAGTGGTCTGACCATGTAACTCAGCAGATGAGTCTATCACAGGAGTCTGACTATGTAACTCAGCCGATGAGTCTGTCACAGTAGTCTGGCAAAGTAACTCAGCAGATGAGTTTGTCACAGTGGTCTGACCATGTAACTCAGCAGATGAGTCTATCACAGGAGTCTGGCAAAGTAACTCAGCAGATGAGTTTGTCACAGTGGTCTGACCATGTAACTCAGCAGATGAGTCTATCACAGGAGTCTGACTAAGTAACTCAGTAGATGAGTCTGTCACAGTAGTCTAAGTAACTCAGCAGATGAGTCTGTCACAGTAGTCTGACTAAGTAACTCAGCAGATGAGTCTGTCACAGTAGTCTTACTAAGTAACTCAGCAGATGAGTCTGTCACAGTAGTCTGACTAAGTAACTCTGTCATAGCAGCCTATTGAAGTTACTTAATTTGTTACTCTGTCACAGCAGGCTATTGAAGTTACTTAATGTCTTACACAGCAGCCTAATGCAGCAGATTATTGATGTAACTCAGTTTAGGAGTCACCGCAGACTAATAAGGTAAATCTGTCGACGAGTCTGCTTCTAAAATTAACGGCTTTGTAAACTGAGCCGTATTGCGTCGGAGATAGTCAACGCGATTTTGTATGGGCTGTATATACTCAGTCATATTCTCTTTAGCGAGGATGAGTGCTGTTTCAGCATTTCTTAATGCTTCTTTCAAGAGATTTTTCCTAAACATGCGATCGCAATTCGCAATGCTGAAGTACATGGTAAGAATAGGACAAGTTATTGAATTCGATTCTTCATATTCTTTCATGATAAAGTCAGCAATTTTCTCGTCTTTCTTTGGAACTTTTGTTTTGCGGCCCATGCCTAGTCCATTACAACCACATCTTAGTAATAGAACCACTAACTGGAACTTTACATAGGCTGCCCCGTATATCCTGTCTTGGCCTTTCTCCTCATTGAAATGTTGTAAGGATCTATTGTAGCTTTCCAGAGTGCGTTCTCGCATTACATCTACAGCTTTTGCTTCGCCTTCACTTTTGTCACTGATCATATCTAGCTGTAACGCGTTACTTCTCCCTTCGTTGTAGTAAACCCATGCTGCACCTCTTCCGGTGCAATGCAAGGGATCGGACTGAACAATCATTTTTCTGTCATCGATTATATTTTGCAGTTTAGCAAACTTCTTCTGCAATAGATATTTTCTTGTTTGCGGAGATAATACTAGCAATTGGGAATACAGAGGATCTTTGGTTTTTGGCATAAGGTTCTTTGCGACAACAAGGTATGTCTTTTCCGAAACATAATCTAACTTTCGTTGGGCAAACAAGACTTGCATGTACGCCACTGTGAACAATGTATCATTACAGTTAGGTCTTTCTGCTTGTAATTTGATACATTCTATTGCAAATTCGTTACTTTGTCCATTGTTGTACATGTCAGCAAGAATGTCAAATGTTTTCTCAACATGCTTAATATGTTTTCGCTCCGATGACACCGGTCGAGGAACACGTGTGGCCTCAACAAGTTGCTTTGTATCTTTTCTAGCTCTTTTATATTGTTCACTGTCTCGTGATTTTCTGTTTTCATTTTCACATGCTCTTCGCCGTTTCCTCGATATTTTTGTCGTGCTTGTTAATCGAGACACTCCTGGTTTACTCTGAAGGGATTGTTTAAACGTTGTAAAATCAACGATTTTGAGTTCATTTGATAACTCAGACAGTTCCGGTGTATTTTCAATTGCTTGTTTAAATATACAAAATGCTTTCTGTCCCCGTGCTGCTACGCTATCGAGTAACTGCCATCGCCTGTCTATTTGTTTTAGGTCTGTATCATTAAGTGTGCTTAGCTCATCTAGTGTTATCACTTCCTGTTCGTACAGAAAGTCAATGATCAAACGTGGCTCAAGATTGTTGATGAAGTCGAACGCCATCGTGTATACATTGTCTGAAACAGAATTAAATTCGTATTAAAGAATGAAAAGGATATGTTATAACCATGAAGAAAATCAGTTTTATTACTGTATATGGTGAATATAGCTGACATAGATGAATTGCACTTGCGTAGAGCTGAAAGAAGAGTTTCTAAAGGAAAGCCACTTGTCTTAGGCAAAGGTTACATACCTGGTTTATATGAAATAAATATGTTCTATAGTAATATAAAATGATGCTACGGTTTACGTTCTACGTCTCAAACTATAACGTGTGAGGGAGAACAGAGTTCAGCTCTAACCGGTCTCCATTTCAAACATATTGTATTGCTTGAGGCTTGTTTCCATCACATATAACAAAGCTTGTATCATCAGTCATACTGTTACCTTCGCTTGTTTTATTCGAGATGAATCTTACCTCATATTATACATGTGTCTGTCTAATTAAATAGTCACATATAAAGCTTTACAGGTAGATACAGGTACAGGTAAAGTTCCTATCAACGATAAGATAAAATACAAAAGAACAGTGGATGACCCACAGCTTTGTGATTTAATCTTGATAACATGCTAATACTAAAACTGAAATTTGGATATTGTCTTAAACTAGTCACACATACCGTGAGCATATCAAGCTACAACTGTGCATCCCTATCCATTTCCAGTAATAAGTTTTGGAAATAGCCATCAGAAGTGCTATATTTGATTAATCGATTTCCCCCATTACCCATAATGAAGGTACAAAACCCTCCAAGTTAGTGAAATGCAAGGCTTTTACCGCTATTTTCCAAGCCCTCTCCCATATCATTATACTGTAGGGTTCAAAGGCAAGGGGAAACACTTATGAATAAAATTGATCTGGTTGAACGTACAGAGGTAAAGTCGTCGTAGAAGTTTCAAAAGGAGAGCAATGGTAAATTACACAATGGATTCAAGACTTACTGTATGAGACAAAATGTTGTCTATGTTAATACAGAGGAGGTCTATGTTTCAGGTAAAAGGCGGGCCAAAGGTAACAGCATACACGGAAGTGTGAGTTACACCTAAACTGATATGGTGAAGTGCACAAAGCATGCTTTTATTTTGTTTTTTTACACTTCTGTAAATGTGCTTCCCGACAGTGAAGCAGGACATTACATTTCCCTGGTCCACATTTTTTAACAAACAAATTTGAATGGTAAGAATAGTGATTAAGTGATGTTTTATCTTTTGAAAAAAAAACAACATTTTAACGAAACAACAAACCAGGATATGGCCAAAATATGGTATAAGGGACTTACTTCTCTATTGAAAGAAAATAAGAACTGTTACAAAAAACAACACAAATCAAAGAGGATTAAAATGAGCTCATTTACATAGATCCGAGAAAAAAGGATTAATCTTTATATCAGAGTTTTATACTCGAAGAAAAATGACTTTCTGGAATGTATAAGTGTTTGCATATATGAGGCTGATAATCTTTGAGATGGAAAATATCGCTTTTACTACCCATGCATTGGCTTATGGAAATAAACGTGTGCTAAACGCTCAATTAACCGAGATATATTTTAATTAACACCAGAAAGAGCTCCATCATCTTTAATACAATAAAACTGTTTAGAAAAAAAATGTATAATTACCAACTACAGGCATTAGTGTGCTCACCATGAAAACTGGTAATAGTATGTCTTTTTCGTTGAAGTTATAAAATTGTCACTTTGTGAACAATGTGAAATCTTTGAATATATGTGCATATGATTTTGTTAGAACAGTTTGTATCAGCTGGAATTGTACACACTATTTTGTCTTGGAATAAATCTGATATAACTAATACATTAATTATGTTTTCGTTTTGACCATGTCAAGTTTTAGTTAAACCTGCGATTTTGAAACAGGTCTGCCTACTAGTATACTTGTTTGACACTACTCTGTTTGTATCCAGATTAGGACAATCCCAAGTTACCTTTAAGTTTCAATTTCCGCCATGTGTACTAGTTCAAATCATCCTATCGACATTAGATCTTGCATGTTTAAACTCAGTAAAATATAATCTGATAGCGTCCGTATTTGATTACCCTGATTAGACATTAATTAATAACTATGAACCAAACCAGGAAGTTAAATTTGGTGAGTAGAATGAACATTGAAAATATATAAAAGTCATTTCATTGCCTATTTAAGTCAACATTTTATGATTTACAGTTTGATTTTATATATGCTGATTACTCCTATAATTACCGACTACATAAAGAGTAGTATACAACAAACTCTACTCTCCTCCACTTATTTAAATACCGACATTTCTCGTACATTAATATATTTCAAATTCCAAGTATTTTCCTGACCAGAAGCAATTATACGCAGTTATCAATATCATGAAACAGCTGCGAGACTAATGAAGGGAATTTTAAAAATAGATTTTAACATCAAAGTAAATAATACGCTTGCCTACTTTACAGTAACAACAAAATGGAAATAGCTTAACATTACTTTTGAAAACGACGTTTAATTTAGAATTTTCTTACAGAATTCAACATAAACTACACTGGTTTTCATGATGTTGAATTGTTTTAATTACGGGTACTGTAAAGTAGACTGAGTTGAGTAGAAAGCAACCATGTATATTTCTGTAACACTGAAGGTATAATGTTAATCATTCATGTCTGGTGAGTGAATTTATATATACCGGGATCACATAGTTGGTCACGATGATATATTTTATACTAGTTGGGGATGTTTCATTATTGTCATGTCTTATGAATTTGACTTTTCAGAGAACGGCTGTTTCGAGGACGCAGATCAACAAAAGGATAGTTCTGGTCACATGGCCAATATACAAAACAATCTTAATTCTATGTTTGCATCATATACATTGTATCAACTTGATATCCATGACTATCTTATATCATCCGTACTACGTGGAAAAAGAAAACAAGAAACTATTAATATGATAACAGGAGCTGAAATGAAACCAATACACACGAAGGTAAAAGTATGGACAAGAAGACTCTATCTGGAGATCCATAGAGATGTACAAGGAGAATAAAATCCAGATGCTCCGACAGGGTACGCGTCTTATGCATCAATTTAAGTTAGTCATTGATAGAAACAACCAGGCACAAAACAATGGGCATCGGGGAATAAGAAAGAAGGAATATACATATCATGCATGCTGCGATATCGTAGTCGACAAGAAAATTACAATCTCACTTCTGTTACACATGTCGTAAGTAATGTAAGTTAGTAAACACTTGTAACTTTAAACATCTAATCTACTCGTACAGTACGGAAATAAATCAACTTAAATCTGCATATCCCAATAACCATTAAGTTAAACCCATTTTCTTAAGAAACCGAAATCGAAACTAGGACGGAATATGGAACTTTCATGAAGACGTTGTCAGTGTGAATTTATCTCAAGAAAGAACTTTCACTTAACGGCAGACGCACACATGAAAACCATAATAAACCATAGCACGGCCATTCAACTAACTACTGACGTCCAGTTTGTGACTTAGAATAGTACCCTGTATAACTGAAGCCTCCCCCCAATGTTTCGGACATATCCTGATAACCCTCAACTTAAATTGAAATAGAAGCTTTCATTTTGCACCTGAATATTTACCATGTAATTACTACACATTTTTAAAAAGCTGATTTGATTTTTTGAAAGCTAATGTTGACATGACACAGGACACGTTATGATATACCCACAGAACACAATGAGACGGAAATAAAAATACATACAAATTGTTAGATAGAATTGTTCAATCGTGATGTCACACAGTATATTGTTCTTAGTTAGTCATATCATGCAACATGTTGCAATGATTACCACCGATCAATGTTTGTTCAATGAAGGACATAATCGACGTTACAGCTGTCGTGCACAAAAGCATTTAAATTCAGAACTTGGACGATTGTTCGTGTCTGCCATGTTTTATGTACACTAGCTAACAGCCCCTTATTTAAAGAGATACCTTGCAGCATTTAATTTCTAGACTCCCCCTCACCCTCTTGCTGTAAAATATAGGGTTAGAGCATTCTAAGAGATCAGAACACAAGGACTGTTTTGTTTATCAATTAAATATTCTAGAGACATGTGCTTTATAAATATTTCTATGTGTGAAATTAATAATGAAATACATATATCTTCATCTGCTGTAAGGCTTGTCATATGTAACGTAGGAATCCTTTGTCGAAAACCCTAGCTTTACTTACAAGAGTTTACGTATTTTATTTTTCAATTACGAAGATTAGATATTATTTTTATTATGTCCAGGATGATGGAGGTCACAAATATTTATGACGATTTTCCAGAACCAAGAATACTTACATGGAAGGTGGAAACTTATTCCTTTAATGATAGGCCAGTCAACTTGGTATTCCTCTGGGTTTTATTTCTTTCTCTGATTCTACTCACGGAAATATTGATCAACATGATCTTGTTCTATATTCCAAGAAACGTCAAGAATACCTGGAATATCGGAGTCCTTGACACATTTAAAAAATGCATTAACTTTACGTAATCAATAGATATAAACGTACATTTTACATTACAATACCCATCCTTATACTATGTACCGTAAACATACACTGTATCTTAACACACATCTGTGACTACACGCATAGTGTAGGACCTCAAGGTGTCATTCTTATATTTACAGTAATAAATAGCACGTAAGTTGTAATTAAGAAGTGCCATAAAACGGTTGGTGGTAATAATCTGTTCTATAAATAGTAGTTGGTTAGGAGTATAATATAGTATTTAATTCTGTGTGTGGTTATGTGGTGTCGTTTTTTGGTAGTTTAGCCCATCAAATTAGTCACTGACCTGAAGATTTAAAGCGCTCCGCTATATGGCAGCTTTTATAAATAATACATTTCAAAAGTCTATGAAAAGTTATTATTGACAATTATAGCATACGTGTAAAATGTTTATAGAGATAAGTAGAATCAGTGTTGTACATTTCGAGATATTGATTTATTAGGACGGACTTACGTAATACAATGGCTGAAGCGAG